TTCCTTTGTAAAATCATGAGACATGTAGCATTTAATTGACTGATTTAATTTATAAAATCAATCATTACCTATTTTACAAATCATAAAATATGTTAAGATGGCTACTTTGTGGTGTATGGTAAAAATCATGATTATACATGTATTACCTAATATGTCTGTGCTGTTGATATCACCTAGAGCATGCCAGTATATCATTGCAGACCCATCTGATTCAAACATCTGTACAAAAAGAAAAAAAAAACACTAATTAGAACCAGGATACTTACAACGCATGCTAAAATTCCATATACATGTACATGTTTACTAAACTTTTAGTCTACATTCATATTTATAAACTCTTGATAATAAAACACTTATTAGGCAGTATAGGCAATTCTACTGAATAAATACAGACTCTAAGGATGAACAAGGCAGGGATCTTCCACTACCCCTTGTAGGGCCGAATATGGGCCCCATTCCCAATTGCAAAATCACTCAAATGTTCCCAAAACTGAGCAGCCTGTGTTTAAGTTTTGAAAAAAATATGTAAAACAAACCTGGTTAGGTTTGAACTCTTAATGAAATGAACATAATTTTTGGAGACTTGGCTAAACTTTATCATAATACAGGTAGATCTATTTTCTGAAGTAAAGTTCTGAATAACGAAGTAAAAAATCAATGTTACCTATCATAAGTCATTAAGTGTTAATTTATTGAAATACATCTTGCTATAAAATTTCCCCAAAAGTTGTAAAATGTTGTAAAATTCCAAATAGTAAGGGCCTGGGCCCCATTCCCAAATTGGGGTGGAAAATCCCTGCAAGGAAAAGGGAAAGACTTTGTTACAATACATGTATACATTTAACTTTTCATGATTGTTGTTTATACTATTACTGCTACATATAATACTGTATAGCATGTTATTTTAGCGCGTTGCTAATTTTAGCTTATTTTGTTGATTTGATGGTAGCCCACTATTATTTTAATCGCTAAAATAGTAAGTACTCTTGAGTCTTCTAAGCATTCATCTGCAAACAGCTGAAATTCTGTGTCCGCTAAAATAAAATACGCCAAAATTATTGGCATACCTTTGAGCAGGCAAAACGTAAAATTTTACACCCTTCATTCAAGAAAACTTGCTATACAGTATGAATGGAGACATTTACCTGTATTCCTTTTAATGAAGTTAAAATAAAAACTGTCCTTGTAGGAAGACATATCCATTTGGCCTAAAAACATAATTTAAAACAACATTATTTAACATAGTTCCTTATGAATGTCAACAAGCATGTTTTCCAGGCAGATGCAAAAATATTCTATTTCTAGACTCCCTGAAATATCACACTATTTTTCTTTGATATTTATTTTGTTAGCATATGTTCCTCTTCTTGAGAAATTTCAAAAAAAAAAAAAAATACAAATGTGTTTCAAAAAAGAAAATCTGGCAAGTTAATAGGATACCACTGTAGCAAGATAGAAGGAAGATATTAAAGAAAGCTGTGAACAAATTATCCCCCGTCTCATAAAGATGCTCTTCCATATGTTCAATGTCAACTGAATTTGTCTGATAGTCACAGAAAATCTCTGTAGTAATATACAGTTGTTGACTGGGGTAGTTGGAAATAAGTCGATGTGTTGAATTAGCGTGCAAGCTGTTGCCCAAGGCTGCAGGCTGCTGGCAACAGTTTGCACTCTGGTCGAACAGATTGACTGTATCCCAAGACTTCTGCCGACAACTGTTTTTTTATATTCCTTTGTTGAATGAAAAGATTACTCAGTTTAGCTCTATTAGATGTCAGTAGGCAATAGTCTTTTTTAATAGTTCCTAGTTTTTTCAGGGACTTGAAGGAGGTATATTCCCTAAGTTGGCAAGTATAAAATAAGTCCCTGATATTTAGTAGGGTTAATTTTACAGTCCTGTACGTTATATTGCATTTTTATTGTAGATAATGTATACATCAGGTCTGGTACAATCACTAGATTTAGCTACATAGCTTGATTAACCTACATAGCTTAATTTACATACCTGAGGTAGCTTTATTTAGCTACCAAATTGATTTATTTCTATCAAAAAGCATTTTTCTCAGGGTGTGCAGACAATATCATTTTGATGCAGTGATTATTTTCAACTCTGAACTCATCTGAAAACAACTCATGAAAAAATCCCTCTTGGAAAAAATGTCTTTTTTTGTGCAGTTGCAATCAAAGTTCTGAAAGTTTTGGGGCTTTGTATGACAGTTAGAACAGTTACTCCTTGAATGAAATGACAAAGAAGTCCAGTTCCGGTTAACACGATCATAGGTCGGTAATTATTCAGCACAATGTGAAGTAATCATACTCAGTCATGCCTCACTGCACCTCACCGTATGGTCAGATAACCAAACAATGGAATTACATGTTTTGCTCTAAATTGTCCAAATGCAGCAATGTATAAACTATCTCTGCTTTGAATTGTTTTTTAAAGCCTCCCTATTATAAATATCAATAGTCATTTCATTGCGACCTTTTGTCTCTTTTTCATAAAAAGAAAACGTTTGAAAACTTACCTTGAAATAGCTAAATAAAGCTACCTGAGGTAGGGAAATATAGCTACGTAGGTAATTCTACCTACGTAACTAAATCTAGTGATTGTACTGGACCTGTACATGGACCAATCAATGCATCGAGGAAATTCGAATTAAAGTTTCTTTATATCTGAAATCTTCATTGAATACATAGATAGTAATTATTACTTTGACACAATGAAATATATACTTGTATAATCATTGGTGTGCTCTGCTGGGCCGCCGAAGGTTCTTTGCAGACGATGTTTCTGCTATTGACTGTGGATCCATCAGTTGATGCCGATATAATGTTGACAACAGCTTTATGGACGACGGCATAGTTCAGGACTCCTTTCTCCAAAGCAACCAACACAGAAAGGTTGTTCGTAAGCGAAGATGCGCTGCTTTTCAAAATTAAAGGCTTCTCTTTGCGGTACATAGTGGAAAATTATGATTAGGTGTCGTTGAAACTTGTGTTGCTCGGTACGCGAGATAGCGCATGCGCTAATAAGACACAAAATAACTATTTGATAGGTCATACACTAAAATGAAATTATGTTTATGTCATGTTAATCGAATAATCACGAAAAATGAAGTATAAACGGAAGGAAAATATTAAACCACATATTTAAAGAAAATCAATTTTGCAGCAGATGTATGCTCAGACAATCATTTCCTCTTTTACGAATTATTTAAAGAACAACCTGTTTGACACAGGAGTTGGAAAACTCCGAGAAAGTTTAAAACTTGAAGTGCATTTATATTTTGTCAACTGTGCAGCGTTAGAATAAACTGACAGCATATAGTAAGTAGGTGGCGTTAAAAAGGAACTATTCTTAGCTACTGTGTCAAGGAAAGTTTTTCAGGAAACCGAGTAACAGTTCGCGATAAACTTCTCGCCCTACTTCCTGGTTAATGGTTGTAGCTTGTCCGAGAAGGAAATTACAGTGATGTTTTGGGACTACTCTTACTGAAATGTCAAGAAGAACGCAGTTAGCGGAGGGGGACGTACAGGTGAAGAAGGGGAGGCTGCAGGTGAGAGACAGTTGTTTACATGTTATGTCATCTGGAAATCACTAGTGACTGTGCATACGGAGTATCCTACTGGATATATATGGTATATAACAGTAGTTAGTATTCAGGTTGAAAAAAAAGTTGTTGTCATATCGTCATTAAATGCAAAGTCATGATAAAGAGATGACAATCTTTTTTACACTCCCTTCCCTGCTGATGTCAATGGAGTTATTTCCCTTATTTCTGATTCAAAATAATTTTATTTTCTGAATTCTTAAACATCTTTGCCCTTTTAAATGTTTCAAATCTGGGATATATTACTTTTCATAGACACTCTCATGGAAGTTAGTATAGGGTGAGTTGACCATGCATCAGACACATACCTAGCTTCAGAATACTTTAGGCATTAAACTCTCTTTTAGATGTAGAACGCAGCTTTCCGAAAAAAATATATTGACAGACCAGAGAGCTACAGTGCCACCCATTGAAAAAAGTTGCGCTTGGTTCTGCTGATTAATTCTTCTAAATTCTTAACTCAATGGAAAAAAGCTACAATTTAAAAAAAAATCCCTTGCCATCAAGTTCTCTTGTAGTCGTCATCTGCATGAATAGCATTAGACTGAATTATCTTGCAAACTAAAATTGCAGTATTAATACACAAAATGTTAGATGATCTCAATTTTCAGGGCCAGGAGGGCTATTAACATCAATTAAAAGGAATGTTTTGTTGTGGAAACAGTGAAAAATGTGTTAGGAACACACAGTTAGTAACATTTTCATGATTTTGAGATGACAGTTTTAAAACCATAGAAAAATAAATAAATCGAGAAACAGTGATTCATTTTTTTTTCAATGGGTGGCACTGTAGCTCCGGTCTGTGATTAAATTTTTTTCGAAAGGCTACAGTTCTGCAGCTTACTCTCTTTGAACCTGAGAGTTCTCACTCACAGTGTATTTGCTTGTTACTGTCTTGAAGCTGAAGATACAAATTTTTCATTGATGCCGTGTTATACATTAGAACCAGGACTGTGAGGAAAATGGGGAAAAAACCAGTAGGACATGCAGAGTTTTTTTTCCCAAAAGTTAATTCGGTATTACTATTATTACTGGCAGCTTTAAAATTTAAGCTGACCATGATAAATATTGCCTTTTTGGGGGTGTATACATTGTAAATACACTTCACAGTTCATTTTAAAAACATGTTTTGTGTGTCACAATGACAACATCAATATATATCCTTGTCATTAAGGGAAAGTTATATTGCTATATATTTATTTTACACCTGTTTGATGTGTAAAAATTGTATTAATAAATTATTATATGAATTGTAAATAAAAAAAAAAAAAAAACACTCATTTCTATCTGAATAAATTACTTCAATAAGTTACTCAATTGATTTAGTCCAAATTAAAATAAAACAATGTTTCCCTAAAAATATAAAATAAATAATTTAGAAATTAGAATTTAAAAAATAACCATTTTGAAAAAATAGGGGTTGGAGTACAACAAACATTAAAATAATTTTAACCAATGCCGTCCGATGGCCCATTGATGTACTAAATTTATGCAGAAGAATATATAACTTGCTATTTAAGAAAGCAATGCTAATATAGTCTGAAGATTTATAATCGGGCCATGCAGTATATAATGCACTTGAAATAGAAATTTAATGCATTTATAAGTGCATCTATTTCGTTTTTTTAGACTCTTGAGTAAACAGGAAGTTTCATATGATTCAGTGTTCATATTTTTTTATAGCCATTTCCTATTTCTTAAAAAAAAGAAGTACTTCAACAAACTATAGAATGACTAAAGAATAAATGAATTTAGTCTGCATGGTGCTGAACCTAGGAGAAGGAAGGCATGCATTTTTATAATAATCTATGGTATTCATTGCAAAAAGTGTGCAATCTGTATATGTCCTAAATAGTAACTAACATGACCTGATGCACAGATAATTGACTTTTGAAGATGGTTGCATGATTATTGTTCTGGTCCAATTCCTTAGGACTCGTGGTAAAGGGTGGGGGGTCTGGAACTGAGAGCATCAATTGATAGTAGACTAAATACAGCTTTGACCACTATATTGCGAAGTGTGAGTTGGAGGAGCATGCCCTAAATACATGTATATGTCGATACAAACATGATCACATGATTTATTCAGTCTTTTTAGCCATGAAGTCAGTTATGTCAGCAAGTTAGAACTATATCAGTTTTGGTATATTTTTTTCCCATGTTCAAAGTATGAAATGTGTTAAAAATTTTTTAAAAATCTGCATGAATTTAGTTGATTTTTTTAGTAAGATTGCAAATTGAGAAATTAATTGGCAAGAGTTCTAAATGTTTGCCCTTGCAGAATATTCCTGAGATGTCCTAAGAAATCCTAAGACAATCTTAAGATTTATTCCTCGGATATCTTGAAAAAATCCTAGGATTATTCCTAAGATTTCCTGAGATGTTTTTGGAACAGGAATTCCTGGGATTTCCTTGGACAGTCCCAATTCAGGGGTTCTAGAAAAATCCCAGGAATCAAAACACCAAGACTTCCCAGGATATCCCAGGAAAATCCCAACACTTAAAATGTCCTAGGAAATCAGGAATTCCTAGGATTTCCTAGGATATCCTAGCTTCCTAGGACATCTTTTTTTTTAAAAAAAAATCATACATAGCAACAAAGCAGAATTATAAGATCTCTGAAAAAAATTTAATGAATGTATGCATTATAAAAGTTCATGGCCCCACAGAAAAAATAATACATAAAATAATTTTTAAAAAATGCTGATGGTATCTGATACAACAAATTCTTTACAATTTTACTGCTGTAATATTATAGTGCAGTTATGATTCAACATCATGATTTACACACAAGGGGGGAAACAGATTGTCTTATTTTCAAACTATGTTGATATATTCTGAAGCAGCTCTCATAGAATATTTATGATATACATGTACAATGACAAATATTAATAACAATAAAAACTAGTGCTTATTGTAATATATTCCCTGTAAGCTTCATTAAATAAGACAAACTCGATGCATTTGAAACTTTAACAACGTTTACCCAGAAGTGTACCAAGTTTATTCAAATTTTAGCATTGCACGCGTGCGCTTGTGAATGCATGTGCGTAATGACCATATCATCTTGTCTACACAATCTATATATTTAAATATGCTAAATATTATAGTATTTAATCCAAAAGTATTGAAAAGATACGCTCATTCAAGTGTTATTTTGATTTTGCTCATTTCACATGCACTCACGTGCATACATGAGCATGGTAACCATATCTTCTTGTAGATGTCCGTTACATCTATCTATTCTAAATCTCACCCCGTGTTGAAAACGAAGGGAGTTATAGCTGTTAAAGTTTCAGCCAATCAGATTGCAGCGCACGAAAATGCACGTGTGTGCATGTGCATAGTGACCATATTTTCTTGTAGTAGTCCATATATCTATCTATGTTCCAAATCAAAAATCAAGGGAGTTATAGCTATTTAAAGTTTAAGCCAATCAGATTGCAGCGCACGTGCATGCACGTGTTTTCATGATAATTGCTATATATCATGTTGTAGGATATACTAATGCATGGCTATTTTCAAAATTTCAAAAGATTTCGTCAAAAAACAAGAAAGATATTGAGACTATAGTTTCAGCCAATCAGAAGCGCACGTGCATGCGCGTGAGATCTTGCTATTTTGACCATGTCATATTGTCTATGCCTCTAATATATCCTTATATTATAAGTTTCAAAGCATTTCATCAAAAATTTTAAAAGTTACGCCAATATCAATTAAATCGGTCATTTCACATGTTGCACGTGCACGCTCTTGCAAGCACGTGCGCGCAAAATGACCTTCGTTCCGCAAATCTACATAACATGTCTACTGACCCTAAAAACATTTCACCTTAGTCGGATGTATAGTTTACGAGATCATTCCCGGACAAAAAAGTACCCAGGAAGAAGAAGAAAAATAATAATAATAATAAGAAACAGAGTAAAAACAATATGTTCCCCAACTTCGTTTGGGGAACATAAAAATATTTAAATCAACAACCTAGTGTAGAGAGTAGGGGTGAGGGTTCGTCACTTCTGAAGAATTCTGTACAATAAAAGATTCAGATACCAAACAAAACTAATTCATAACACTCCCCCCCCATTAAAAAAACAAAAACAGTATGCACCTGGTGGCAACAAAGTTTGAAAAAAAACCAAAAACATATAGGTCAAAGTCACAAGGTCATTAACCTTGATGTAATTTGAAAGAACTTAATTAGTGGAGTATAGATACTCAATATAAAATCTCTACCTCTTATGGTTCAAAAGTAAAAGATTCAATAAGGCTATATTTTAGCATAACGATGACAGTCAAGGTCATTGGTCTTGGTCTCATTTGAAAGTGGAGTAAGCATACCCAATATGAAGTATCTATATCTCTCATGATTCAAAAGTTATGGCAAAAGGTAAATTGGCAATAGACAGATAAACAGACAGGCAAAAACAATATGTGCCCCCGAAAGAGGCCTTGACCTCTGACCATTTCACTTCAAAATATATAAGGGTAATATTTAATTTATAAACAATATTAAATTTGTATTGATGATTAATCATGTTCTGCAGTGGGATCGTCAAAATGAGTTATAATATAAAATGTCATTGCAATATCTGATGGCTTTTTGGAAATGTTAAGAGAACGAAGTGTTACAGACAGACAGATTGACAAACAGAAAGATAAACAGACCCAAATTAATATCCCCCCTGCACCTCGTCAATCCAATATAAGTCGCCCAGCTTTAGTTGATCACTGATGTATCTTCTTTAGCTGTACATTTTTCTTCTTCATCGCCAGTGGCCTAGTTGCAGATCGTGAAGCCTTGTTTGCTTTTTCTTCACTCGACTTTTCACTTGTCTTTGCTAAAATAAAATGTTACTTAATGTATTCCATTGTTTAGTCTAAATATGTAATTATTTCTAAGGGATGAAAATCAAACTTGTAAAATTTAGTAGCCAAAGATGCTACATGTACCAAGCTTTCAGATTCTACCAGTCCATAAAAATATGTGTTTACCCAAGTAAGATGAACCATTTTTCTCAAAAGATTTATTTTATTCACACTTGCATAAGGAATAAGGTATGTTAATCAATTGCATACATGACGTGATTTACAAATGATGTCATAATAATCTTACTGAATAGCCTTTTAGTAGAAAATAAAATTTTAATTCGCAATAGTTAACCGCTTTACCACAGCTGTCGTATGAAGTCAATTTACTTGGCATTAAAATACTGTGAATTAAACTCTCCGTGTGAACAGAACATTAAAATCATACATTAACATTATTTGAACAGCTTACCTTTCTCGGCAATATTCTCCTTGTTGTAATTTGCTTCTTTTCCCTTAGTCCGAGTTAAACAGTCTGCAAAGTTATCAATAAAATTTTTTATAAGACGTGTATATATTTGTTCTTTTGTAATCTAGCTGAAATTAATTTTAATGATGGCTGTCATTGATATTTCTTGCTGATTTTTTCATTTTTCTGTCGTAAATTTTGCAAATATTATCTTATGAGTTCTACGACATCTGCGTCAGTTTTCCCAACTTAATACAAGTTACAGAGATTGAAATGTACCATAAACTTTCATAGACGACTTTCACATTTACAAAAGTTATTCCCCTTTGCGGTAGAGCTGGGTATCGCGACTGAAAAATTGTATCGCGATATATTGCAATATTATATTTTGTATTGCAATATATCACAATATAATTTTTTTTAATAAATTTTGCTTTTCATCAATGTCAAATGAAAACACAAACTCAAATTACATGTATTCTCGAGTTGATATTGCAACTGCCTGGTCGCGTTGTGTCGGCGCAAGTGGCAAGCTAAGTTTTTTATGGCACAACTTGACGAATCAAGTTGTAATATGCATTCGGCTTTAACATGAAGAGGTTTCATGTAACAGTTGTCTGTTTCCCTCTCGTTTCTATTTCACGTCGCTTGCCGCCATATTTTACCTTGTAAAGGGCAAATAACTCTATTTATAACAATTTATAGCATATCGAACCCGAACCGGTATTCACAAAGAACTACCGCGACACGTATTGTGAAGAAAAAAATCGGGATACAACCGGTAATATACAGCACTACTTTGCGGGGTCAATCCAGGGTCAACCGGCGTAAGACACTGTTTCCCCTCTATTACCTTACCAACTTTATGGGTCAGTATCTCGGAAAAATAGTATGTATGAATTTTTTCATTACGTTTTTAAAGTTGCCCCATATTCTGGCAATACAGTTACAGACCGATATTGTTAGATATAAATGTCTGAAAATAAAAATATTTCCAGGTAACTTACAAAGGACAAAGTGGGAAAAATGAGTGTTACGCCGACAACCGGAGATAACTCTTAGGAATGTGAAATCCGTCTATTCTTTCAAGTTTACAAAAGAAAATTTTAAAAAAAATTACAAGATACCTGAAACTTTCTCTTCATTTGGTAGTCTCAATGGGAGTTTCCAGTCTCATAATCCTTGCCAGGCTTCAAGGTTCTAGCTAGAAGATAACAATGCAATGAAGGCTTTATTTAAGAGTATAATTCCAAAATTTACACCATGTCAAAACATTCAATGCAAATTTAACAGTAACTGATAATAAATATTTGTTTATAAGTCTTCTGCTTACTAAATTTTAACATGTAAAACCTGGAAATATTTCACTGTGTATGTATGTACGTTTGATCTTCATGGACTAGACTGAATCACAGTATGCCCAAAAACCTTTTACACATATTCAAATCGTTTCTTCTGTTTCAATATTGAAATATTATACAACACATCACATGCACTAAATTATTAAACAATATTTGTGTGTTTAAATACATATAACAAGGAACCACTCGCCACTTACCCCACTGGCCTGTGGCCATGATATCTACACTTCTTCCAACATTCCCTTTACTGCACTCCTAGCGAAACCAAGATTTTTGGGAAAGAGAACATGGTTTATGTGAAGAATTAGAGTCAATCTTGGGCGTAAGTTGTGCATTTCATTACATTTCACCAGTCTCTCTAAACATTGCCGCTCCTTGAACTCCTATTTTGCGCTTCTCGATGAAGTCTCGCGAGAGGATGATAAAGGACGGTGTAAAGTTATTTCGTGCCACACCAAGAAAATGCGGTTTGTTTATTCTTGAAAATAATTTGTGATTAATGTGAATTTACGTTTTGTTTATTTTACAAAATGAAAATATATTTTAGCGAATATTTTCTGACAAATTAATATTCAAAGCTGAGTTGACAGTAAAATATATTTTATACACCGGGTACTAATTGATCGAAGATCAGTCTTTTTGTACCACCTCTCGGAAGTTCGCGCGAGAGAATGCTGCATACACGGTGTAGGGGTATTTTGTACACCTTTAAGAAATATCCCGACATTTTCCCGAGAATCTTGTTAAAAAAAACACGTAAGTTATTATCAGTGACAAACGACCCGCATATTAGAAAAATAAAATATAAATATCCTTGATCAACCAATGCTACTAACAGAAAGTGTTACAGAAGAAAATATTTTCGAAGAACCACGATGATACATTTAGGGCAAGAACAATTTGCATGGAAACCGTCCAAACACAAATATGGCGGATTGTGAAGTTGTCACATTGTGCTGTAAACAACGACTTTTCTTCGCATCTACAAGCCTGTCACGATGTCTGTAAGTATCTTATTGCTAAGTGATGAATGAAAATTAGTATATCTGGCGATAAAACCTATAGAGAAAACGCATTTTTATCGTATTTAATAGTTATGTTACGCCTCGAATTTGGTCAAAACCTTTGAAAAGTTTTTTTTGATCTCTGTTTATGTGGATAAAATTTTCAGGAAACTCTATTAGATTTACTGCGTATTTTAGATTTTCCTCGTTAAATAAAAACAATACTCAATATCAAAAACATGAGGAATTATATTCTCAAACTCAATACAATACGATTCTAACCCAACAAAATTTGAAATATTAAGCTTTTTAAGTCAGAAAGTGACAAAAGTATGATGTCACAGACCAAGTCATGCTTCTTGAGTATGCTGTTTATGTAGTATTTAAATTTGTGTAGTGTACTCTTCTTTCAATGACTCAATATTTACTTTTCTTTTATATAGTATCTCTGGCAGTTATGGGTGAATATACAGTGAAATCATACAGATTTGGATGAAGATGTTAAAGATAGTAAAGTCAAAGACAGTTTGATGAACCAAATGACACTGATAAAGAAGAAGATACAAAAAAAAGATACTTCTAGCCAGGCATGTGACATTGAAGCTGATAGTTTGGTAACCACCTGAGAGATATATAACCTGTATGCAGGTGATGACGGTATAGGAGAGCCATTTCTTATAACGTGCTCTGAGGAAAATATGTTTTATTTTGTCGAAATGAAATGTGAAGTGAAAAATTAAATTGACAGATGAAGAAAATTTACCACTACATCCTTCTGCATGAATGGTCTTCTGAATTCAAAGCCATTTGAAAACCAACTTTAAGTTAAGAGGAACACTTTATTTTCAGTGAAACATTCTGGAAAATATTACTTCTACATAGAAAGAAAAAGTTGTATTAATACTTGATGTTGTATTGCAAGATGGCCAAGTTTGTATGATCAGTGCTTTCGAAAAAAAAAAAAGCTATGCTTGCACTCAGTTTCCCATGAACGAAGCAATCTAAAGATTAAGTGTAAAATTTAATTCTAATGGATAAAAATCAACTCAGAAATGTGTGATTTGAAAATGGTGAAATATTGTTTGTCTGTAAACAATTTTTTCTTTAAAACATATTACATGTATAACTCTTCCCTGACAGCATCAATATTTCAGAAAGTATTTAATTTAAAAAATAGTTCTAGGGTCAGTGTCTTTCTATGTATCAAGTATAATATGTTATGATTGAAAATTATTCATTTTATGATTTTCTTGATATTATACATTAAAACTTTAAAAGTAATAAAATTTCCTGTCATTCTGTTTTAACATTTATTAACATGTACAAGTTTGTAAAGTTTAATTTGTCTTTTTTACAAAAGTCCCAACATTAAGTCAAAAGTCTTAGGAAATGGGATTATCATAAAAATGATTAACTCCTGGCTTTACAATGAAATGTCCTGGCAAGATTTGGATTTGAAATGTTTAACAAAGAAGTCCTGGGAGATCCTAGGATGTCCTGAAATCAAATCCCAGGATTGTTACTCCTAGGATTTCCTGAAATCAGATTGTGAGGAAATCTTAGGAATTCTTAGGACATCTTAGGAATTCCTGAGAAGCATTTTCAAGTCAGGAATAATTT